AGCACTAATGCAGGTGATCCCCCCAAAAAAATCCTCCGACCACCCCCCGGCGAGAAACAACGACTGGTCCCTTGTGGGCAGAAGTCTTCGTAAGTGCATGCGTCCTAAGCGGGTGTAATTTGAAAAACATTATTTCAAATCATCACGAATCACACTAAATCTCGAAACCACTGAGCAGTTCGTATTAAATATGTCCATTTTTATTACATTCTCGTAAAAATCACATCCGAATGCTATTTTACGCACTTTTACACTCTTCATTCAAATGCTGACTAAATAAAATTATAATAATAACATGGACCTGCAGGTAATTCAGGCGGGCAATGTGTTAACTATTGAAATCTGAAGAGGAAATAAGGGGACAGAGAGGGAAAATCAGGGCGTCGGGCTATGTCGATTTCACTTAAGTTATTTTTAGCCTCGGGCGGAAAGAGAGGTAAATTTCCCTGGACATCCACGATGAGGTTTCTTTATGTAGTGACTGATTTCCAAAGTTATTTCAATCGCAAAGACTTATCTTCTGGCTGGTCGCCAATATATCAATCTAACTACGTATCCGCAGGTGACCAAGACTCGCTGTTGCGGCTTTCGAGAAGTTACCTCGGGCCATGCCTCATGACCGGGAGCCAAATGTTTCCCCGTCCGGCCCGACAAACTCAGTCAATAAACATTTTATCGTATGACCTCTAAGTGTTGAAAATTTCAACCTAACTAAGACGCGATAGAAGGGAACGCGCAGCCACACAAGCACAAAAAAAAAATCTGGAATTATAACTTTTTCTTTATTTTTTCGAGTCAGAACAAGAAACTCCCAATTCCTTGAAAAACGTGACTTTTTTTCTCATTTCTGTATTCCTTTAAGTTACTGCAACAAAGCGACGAGAGGGCAGCAAGCCCTAACGGCTTTTTCCGGACCGACTCACGTTAACCCGTCCGGCCCTGTACGCCTTAGCTTTTACTGTGGTTTTCTATGGAATTGCGCGAGCGGGGCCGGACGAGTCATGTGATAATTAACAATATATTTTGTCATCGTCGTTTTTTCCAAATTTATTCTGGTCTTTCCAGTGATTGCGTAACCTGGTGAATTGAAGTTTTCAATTTTTCTCTAGTTGAGGTCAATTCTCTTTAACTTAACAACAACAACAACAACTCAAAATATTATAATGTAGCCTCTTTAACTCCTTCACCCCAAGGATCCTAATATCAATTCCCTGCTCGGTCTACAATAAATTTCTTACAATTTTAGCTCTGAGAATTTCGTGTGAACTCAAATCACTGTCCCATCGCAGACATAATTCTTTCTCCCAGTCACCTTTGAGCTTGAAAATAGCACCATGATGTTTGGGAGACACAACTCAGTGAGACACAACTCATTGAGACACAACTCAGTGAGACACAACTCAGTTATCTCTCATCGGTTCCTGAGAGGTAGACGGTGACGCCTCGTACAGAAAATTAAATTGTTTTGTCGAACAAATGCAAAACTTGGAATAAAGGCTGAAAGTTTCTAAAGAAACTGTGGTGCTGCGTCGGTGAGGGTAACAAGGTAATTTGGTTATATCAACTAAGTTGAAATTGTAAATTGGCCACCGTAACGAATAAAAAAGCTGACGTTTCGAGCGTTAGCCCTTCGAACTTGGAAGATTACTTCTAAACGATCCACACCCACTATCCACTTCTCAGTTAACTTTTAGCCACGACAAACCCATTAAGTGGAAGCAACTTCGTGGCGTGAGGGGAAAAGGATCAATACCTGAACGGCGGTAATTTGCACTCAACATGCGCTCTCAATTATTGATGCCGAAGACATAGCATCACTGCTAAATGTTTTTTAATACGTCATCCAACTGCCTCAAATATTCAAAAATTCTCGTTTTCATCGTCGTGATTCTGGAATCAGACAAAAAAAAAATGTCACATACAAGAAGAGGACGGATCAAATTCAGTATCAGAGAAACTGCGCACCAACTCCTCCCCTACCCCAACAACAATCAACTGACAACAACTAAGGGGTAATGGTGGGTCAGTAATTGAGCAACTGCGCACCTACCCCTCCCCTACCCCAACAACAATCAACTGACAACAACTAAGGGGTAATGGTGGGTCAGTAAATGAGCAACTGCGCACCTACCCCTCCCCTACCCCAAGAACAGTCAACTGACAACAACTAAGGGGTAATGGCGGGTCAGTAACTGAACAACTGCGCACCTACTCCTCAGCAACGGCAAATTGGCCAATCAGAGATTGCGACTTTTCCGCCAATTGCGCTAAAAAGTAGTTTTTACCTTCAATCTTTCCAAGGGCTTGAAACCATTTATTCCAACCTTTTCCTTTGCCTTTTTCGTCCTTCAAGTGCCCTAAGACCTTGTCTCCTTGGGACAACACCACAGCTACTCGAACCGGAGTGACCGGTGCTGCTGGTGTGACCGGTGCTGCTCGTGTGACCAATGCTGCTGTTGTGACCGGTGTTGCTGGTGTGACCGGTGTGACAGGATTGACAGAAGTGACAGGAGGGACCGGGTGGACATGAATGGCGGGAGTAGCCAAATGCTCACTTGACTTTTTCTGCGCCCCACAACCTCTTCTTCCCAGATATCGCTTTAGAGCGTTCTACAGAGAGAACGTTGTGGAATTTAAACAAAATTCGACTTTCCTGTTCACTTTCTGACTGCACTATTCGTCCAATCAGTCTCAGAGACTTTCTAAAATGAGATGAGGGAGATCCAGTATCCTAAATTTTTCAAACTATCACTTGTTGTTCCTTCATTTACACTAGTGTGGACGGTAGACCTGATCGTTCAAAAAAAGTTTTGTTTTCAAAATATTTTTATCCTCAAGTGTGGACGAAGTATAACTTTTACCTGGCCGCTAGTGGGGCACACGGCCTTCTTGTAACGTATCTCAATGATCAAAATAATTATCGAGAGGATGACACCACTGAGTAAGACTAAGAACACTCCAGCCATGTTGTTGACGCCAAGACTCTGTATTTTCCCAGTTTTAGACTTGGAGGGTTCTGGACATTGACTGCGCTCGTCCCACCACTTTCGCCGCGTCTTCTCAATGAAGCCACTTTCTCTTAACTGCCAAAAAATAAGACTACCAAAGGTTTGACCTCACACTGCAGACTGCAGCAGTGTAAAAGGCAGCCACCAGTGCTGCTTTGATTATAATGATAATAATAATAATAACAGTAATAATAATAATAATAATAATAATAATAATAATAATTGGTATAGTAAAGAAGGGAATGGTGGGAAACATAAAAAAAGTATTGGAAGCAGCTACTGTGACAGAGATTCAAAAGATCTGCATGCTGGGATCTGCGCGAATCCATAGAAAGGTGCTAAGTGTTTGAACAGAATGATTGACTTGAGTGACTGATGCCCTAGATGCATTGTTTGCGCCAGGCTAATGCATAAAAAGAGCACCAGCAAAGACTGTAATAGAAGAGATAATAATAATAATAATAATAATAATAATAATAACAATAATAATGATTAGCAGCCTTGTATATAGATTTGCCATTCACCTTTCTCCTTTCTGTATAGTTTTAGATATGCTTTTACTTATCAGATTATTAGACTTAGAATCTGTTCAGATTTGACTCCGTTATTTATAGTTTTCCAGACGCTTTGACATTAAAAAAGGAGTAGATGTGAGCCGAAAGTGAGTTATTTTGGATCGCTTTTTACGCTGTTAATATTTTGTATTGTAGAGGATTTTATGGAAATTATTGCTAAATAAAGATATTTTGGATTATTACTATAATAATAATAATAATGATAATGATAATGCTATTATCAATAGTCATGCTGATGACAATAATCGTCATAATGAAAAAACGATTAAAAAAATGGTACCAAAGAACAAAGAGAGGAAAGAAAAAAAATAAATGATTTTTCAGTCTAAGAAGTGTCAATTGTTTTTTTACAACAAATTTTTAGACTCGTCCAGTAGGTTTTGAAGTATTACCACAGGGTTTTATTTCTTTTAAGTCATCCCGAAACTTTTAAAAATTGATCTGTTGCGGGTTAAAATAATGTATATAACAGTGTAAGGCTTGAAAACCTTTGAATAAGCCACTCACACCATTTATCTGGCGTGAAGGTTATCACAAAAATGAGCAACCCACCTCTAAGATCACGACAGAAATCTTATTTGTGTGGGGTGAGTTTTGCTGCAGCCCAATTCCATAACCTTTAGCTTGAAGTAGTTTGTCCAGAAGTCTCGTGTTGCACGGCTTCTGTTGATTGTAGTATGCCAAGTAGGGGTATTCTGTTATATAAGCGTAGTTTTCTGTCCGCGCTTTTTTCACCCCATCTGAAGTAGAGTTGACGAATGTTTGCTGACTTCTCATATAAGAGAACATTTTCATGTGAAGAGGATTTTCTGAATTCTGGAAGAATTTCTGCACGGAACCCGTGTTGAGGACTCCGTATCTTGTTTCATTTTGACTTGCAAGTTCGTCCAGGGAATTAATAGTTTGAACTACTCTTTTAACTGGAAAAAGAAAGTGGAATTCAACGAAAAATTCCCAATTATTAGTATGAAACGAGAAAATATATTGTAAAGTATCACAGAAGGAGAATTAGCACTTTCATTCAAACTGAAATAGCATGCAAATTATTCGCGCTATCCCTATAAAAGTATACATTTTGAGTTTTGCTCGAAAGCTCTTTTGAAGTTAAAAACGACTGAAAATGATTAAAAAATAAGGAAGCGTTAAAATAAAATTCCCGGACACAAGTTTTAAGTTCAATACTTGCAGATCACGCTTCGATGAAAAACAAAAGGAGCTGATCAGAAGCGGCGTCTGGTAAACTTTTTTCTCGACTTGAAAGAATAATCTCCCATTCTGTTAAAAGCTCAAAATTATGAAGGTAAATTAAATATCCTCAAATCATTACTCATGTTAACTTTAAAAAATGTAGAAATTTATAGGGATAGCACTCACTTTGAATGGAAACGCCAATTTTCCTTCTGAGATACCTTGGAATTTTGATTTGAGGAATGGCACTATTTTAATTTTTTTACTTGATGAAATTAATAGCTTTATTTCGTTGAACATACTTGTAAAAAAGGCAGCCAGGTTTGCCGTGTAGGTTGTTATCAGTATTAATATAAAAAACCAAAAGGAGGAAGCTAACAAGCGACCAGAGGGAGACAGTGGAGTGTTGTCCGGACCTTGCTGTAAAACGGACGTTGTAGCAAACCACAAGCTGTTCAACAAGTTGAACTCATTTCCAGGCTCCTCGCTTGAATCACGAGCTCGAGCACGGTAACCGAAAGGGCTCAAATAGTCCATGACACACATCATTCCGGTGATAAACAAAACCTTCAAAAACAAGGTTAATTTGGCAAAACGAAGTTACTACATTCTTGTAATATTAAAAATTGTGTTGTAGCTAAAACAAAAAATTAGTGAAAAATAAAAGCACTAACTCAGAGTTGTTGAGACAAACGTACGCGCATACGATCGAGAAGGATTTTCGCCATGAAGTTCTAAAAATTTCATAAGTATTGTAAGACAAAGCTGTACATTGACGTCATGAGAGCAACCCAGTGTATTACTATACATACTGTAAATTTTATTATTACACGACTCGGGAAATCAGAGGGCCAATAACTAAAATCAACCAATCAAAATGCTTTACTGCCGGTCAATATTCTCTCAGTATTGGACCAGGCACTGTCCCGAATGATACCGCACTTGTGTCCCTTTGAACTTTCAGTCGTATAATAAATTTCTTATCAACCTTAGCTTGCTCGGGACCGTACTGGAAGAATATCGGCCCTCGGTCTTTTTTGTACGGACCTCGCTGCGCTCGGTCCGTACCGTCAAGACCTCGGGCCGATATTCTCCCAGTACGGCCCTCGCGCTTGGTTAATAAGATACATTTATTCCCGTTACCCCCGGTAAACATGATGGTACATTAGATATCTCAGGCCCTTCGCTATTTCTCCCCAGGTGGAGATCTGTCTTTAAAACTTCCAATGAGAGGCAAAAGTATTGGCAAACTCCGCCACTTTTTAAATTTTTTTTCCAAAACTTTCATATTTCTCCCCCTCTCCTCCATTTCAATGATGCCTGGTGTTAACAAAATGCTCACTAATCACGGGGAACATTTATTGGGGGGAAATGGGGCACTTTCAAGTAAGTTATTAGAGATGAATCACAAGTTTTCTGTTTATCATGTTGAGTGAAGGATTGTCTACCACCTGGTAAGGAAAGGCAGCCAACTTATTTAGCTATTTTTTCACGGTAGATATCTCGAGCTTCCTCCCTCCCCCCCCCCCCCCGGCATCTTGAACCAACTATCACTGGAAATCTCAGACCCCAGGTTAATCGTATACGTAAGACATATCATGAATAATTAAACTTGGACACTAGTTCTTCGGATCCATTCTACTATCAGTGATTTAGTCGTCGATATATCAAAATGTCCGGTACCCTTGGTTGGTTACCGGCAAGTTTGAGATAAAGGAACCCTCCCACTGCAAAATGGAACCGCACAAAGTAAACCCCTACCACTATAATCGTAGAAAGCCACAGATTATTGGTGAAAGGCAGAAGAAAAGCGAATATATTGATCGGAGGCTCTCCAGGTTTGCGCATGATCAGACTCATACTGAAGTCCATAAACGGTTTGCTGAAGTCGATGATCAACTCACGCTCTGCTGTTATTGTGATTGGTGCAAGAGCAAGGTCCATTGCCTAAAGTAGGAGGATAAACGATAGAAAAGCAAATTATTCAGGACGAGAGGTGCTAGATAATCGTTTGGTATCAAATTCAATCGCACAAGCCAATTGAAGTTTAAGAATGACATTTAAGGCAATAACAAACGATAAAGTCCATGGAAACTTATTGGTTCAATGCTAAAGCAAATATTTTAAATTTAACGCAAAAAGGGCTTAATGCAAACAGTGAGAAGTTGAATTTTGAAAGAACGACAAAATGCTACCTGAGACTTCAACGCGTCCACCATTCCTTTGTAGCTGTTATCCACATGAATCTCATAGTCGAATTTTACCTTGTGGGATAATTCCTCAATTAGATCGATACAGAAACCCTGAAGCAGATTTTTAGGAATAATCCCATCTGGTAATGGCGTAGAGTCATTCACCTTTTCTACAAACGGTGGTTCCTATGAGACACAAGACAGTCATTGACTGAGGTTTAATCTTTGATCTATTTAACAAATATGGAGAAGCCTTGACCGCCGTGTTCTGTTCTTTTGTAAAGCACGCAGGAAGCGGCTAGGGCACGAAAGAAGTGTAGCGAGAAACACGAAACGCAGTCGAGTGTTTCTTATTCCGAAATTTCACTTTCAATTAGCGAGAAAACTAGGCAAAGTATAAATTAGCAGATGGCTTGACTGCTTTAGCTCAGCTCCATGCTCTATACTCTATACGCCCTTCCAACCAATGAGAGCGCGCGTTAAACCCGAACTTTATTATAAAATGACGTTGGATGACTAGTCATCTTAAAAAAATTAACCTCCAATTATGGGTTTTTCAGGTGTATGCTGATCTTCGCCATCGTCACCTTTTCAGTTATTTTGTCCTCTCTGGTGTTTGTACAGCCTAGCTAGTATATTATATCAAGGATTTACCATATTTAGAGGCGAAACACCGTTACATTAAAATGAATCAGAAAGTTGCGATGTAACTCCTTTCCGAATATAGACATAAATAGCTCCTGAAAACTAACACAGCATGTCTTGAACCAAGTTGAGAGGAGGGAGGTGGCAGTTGTCTTCAGAAAAGGCCTATGTTTTAACATAGTGCTCGCTACACGGAATTCCAAAACCTTTGGAATACATTGGAAAACCGGAGGGTACAGTTGATTACAACGAAATTTCTTTTATTCTCATTATTTTCATGAATGATTGAGCAGTATTGATGTAAGGTGAAATTAGGTGCTGGTCATTCTTAGGGTTTAAATTTAAGGGTTCATATTAACTTCAGTGCACACCCAACTGCACACTTCAAAGTTTCAAATGAAGGAGAAAAATTGGCTGTTGCAGGAGTGAATTTATCATGAAAATTGCTACCTTTGTACATCATATGCTAGGTCACTTAGCCCTCTGGCCGACAATGCAAGATCTAATTCATAATTTTCCCTTCTTGTTGCTGTCCATATCAACAAAATTTGGCGAGTAGAGTTTGATGTTATATGAAGAGCTTCCATTTTCTCTTTAAATTGCATATGACACGAAATTTTTTTCTCTTGTTTCTTGTAGTTGGATATCTATAGAAAACGTTTCGAAGCTTTAAAATCACTGGAAAAATGTAAAAAGCATTTTTTTGCCTTCAAAATACGCGCAATTTGCCTTCAAATTTGTCCCGGAGACTGGGACCTAGTTTATCGCCGTCGAAGCTATTCGTGACGTCACATTGTGTACCTTTGCCGCGAAGGTCTGTTATCGCTAAGAGGGTTCTGCAGTACTTCGTAGTAGATAGATAGTGCATTGAAAGGCAAAGATGTCCAGTGATTCTAATGATTCCTTTGAGTCCGACTCTTCTGAAGTTCCATTGAGGTACACAATGTGACGTCACGTTACGATATCACGTGCGATTTTGGCCACGTGATGACTGGGACAATTACGAAGGCAAATTGCGCGTATTTTGAAAGCAAAAGAGTGTTTTTTAGATTTTCCCAGCACTTTTAAGGCTTCGAAACATTTTCTATAGATATCCAACTACAAGAAACAAGAAAAAACTTTCCTGTCATATGCAGTTTAACTACGTGATGGACACACACGCGAGTCACTACTAGGAATTAAAGCATTGAAATCACATAGTATTCTCACCAAAACTGTTATAACTTTCAGCACTGGAATCGGTTCTGGTTCGTTATGCAGATTGTTCCCCGGATTGTTGCACTGAACCAATTTTGCGAAATCCCCCACCCACTGTGGGTGTTCATTGTTTAAAGACACACGGTGATCTGTCATTCCAGGTTCAGGTTGCCACGAGCCGATCTATTGAGAACAAACGAGAGAATATACAAGTAACACAAACACATACTGACAATCACTCACAGAACAGCAAGTCTCTCTTACCTCCACTGATATGATAATCATGAGAGCTTAGTTAGTGATCGAACAAGCTTGCATTACTCTTCATGTACTGTAATCTATTCACAAACCTTTTTGGTTCTGTTTAGAACAACGTTCACAATGTCCAGACCATCGTGCACTCTTCGTTCATCCGTATGACGGTTGAATTGCACTTCTCCTGTCAGACCTTCTCCGTGGAAAAGTTTCACCTTTAAACATAATGTGACAAAAAAATTGAAATTTGAAGAATAGTAGACCCTGCTGAATTCTACGACTTTTTTTTCTTATAGTGAAAAACATTAATCTTATTTTATCGAAATTGAATTTACCTTTCATCTAATTCACCAGGATTAAAATTTAACATCCTCATTTACATAATCATCGCGCAAAAGCGTCACTTATCGACCTTCCTATCCTTGCAGTATGCAGGAAGTTTGTCACTATGGACCCTGTTAAACGGTCTAACTTGCCACCCAGTAACCAGGTCCAAGTGCTAATCGGAAGGTCGTAGGTTCGACCCCTAGTGGGAGCACTCGGGAGTGCTTTTCTCCGGGTATGCCAGTGTCATTCACTGAATAAAATCATCTTTCACAAGAAAATTTATCTTTACCTTTCTAATCTGCTTTAGCAGTCTCCACCCTAATCTCTTGCGTTTACTTGATATACTTCGTAAAGCGCATGCACCATTGTCTAGACGTGATTCTATCCTTGGTATTCTTGGATCATTGTTGAATAAATTCCACACTGCCGTCCCTACCACAAGCGCTACGTCGTGGACAGCTGCATACACGGCCTTTGGGCAGGATATGTTGAATGTAACTAGTGCCGTATTTATTTGAAATTGGAATAACCCTTACTTTCAAACCTATTCAGAAGTTACGTTTACAAGTAACGTCAAAGAGTCTGTCACGTGTTGTATGATATTAACAATATCGACGTAGCGACTCTTTGAGAGACCTGAAAAGTTGGCATTTCTCTCACCGGCGTATCTTCGCCAACTTCAACAACCCAGAATAGAGTGACAGAGGAATACACAACTATCTAGACACGATACAAAGCAATGGAAAACAATCATTTTGACGACTCAGCACGTTTCAACGCGAAGCTGCACGAAACTTCACAAAACAACAAAATACGATAGGACACGAACTGCCAAAGTAACGCACAACAAAGCGCAATGACATAGCAAAACACGACAAAATAGGACGCGAGACAGCAGGGCGTGGTACAACTTGGCATGATACACTATGCAGCGGAACAGGACCACACTCAATCCGCATGGCATTTCGTAATTGGACCGCTTTTTGTCGGAACGTGCCACGACAAGAGCAGGCAAGAGGTGGCAGTGTGACCGAATGATTAGGGCGCTAGTCATGTTACCTGATGGTCACGGGTTCGAGCCCTGCACCCTGCTACTCGCTGGATTTGTTCTCGGTCACCCTGAGTTCGACATCTTTGACTGCACTTTGTATATGGCCAACTGGTCTGCCTCCTCAGTGCCAGTTGTTGTTGTTTTTTTTTTTTTTACACTTTGTTTATGTTTATTTGCCATCACGGTTTATGTACTTATTTGGAGAGCCACAATTCTAACAGTTTGTAACTATTTAGTGTCACCCTTTGTAAACGAAGTCCAACTGTTATCATTATCATTTCGACACAACGTGCAAAAAAGCAGCTTCTTTCTCACCAAAGGGTATTCGGCTCCTTTTCCACCTGTCGCACGATTTTTCAAGTTCCGGATTAAAATCTCGTTAAAAATATGGAGCCTGAGTCCCACCATACCAAGAAACGAGGGATACGTGTGATTGTATGTTTGACTTGCACCAGCCACCTCCTGTTAAAGAGATAATCCATAATGCACCTGACCTTAGACTGAGTTGTAGTCAATCTGGGGCATAGGTGAAGGGAGCCGGAAAAACGTAGTTCAACAATTATATTACTCATGAACGTATCTTGAATTGTAAGCAATAAATACGTGTCGCAGCGTTGGCTTCTCGCCAAAAACTAGTTGGAAAGTAAGTATTATATGCTAATGTAAGTTGGTTACCTACTTCAGGTCGATTCCGAGCAGTCGCGCAACAAATCATGGACAAATAATTCATGAGATGATGAGAACCCCAACTAGCAGGAGACAAACCTCTTTGGTTGTAACATGACAGCAGCCATATTCTAGCAGAACTATTTCACGGTAATCGTTTGATCAGAGGAGATGATCATGTGAATACCGAAAAAAAAAAAACAAAGAAAACAAGCGGTGGCCAGAGCAGAAAATGAACGAAGAGGTGAAAATCTTCCATCTACGTGATAAGAGCGATGGATATCCTTACTAAAAGGATATGTCGATATCTCGCCTCATTTCTAGAGCCTAGAGAACTTTCTTTAAATTTAGAAAAGGTATAAAAGATTATTTTACCGAATAAGACAAAACTAAGAAGGCATAAATGAAATGAAAACGCACGTGGATGGTTAAGCGCGGAAAAGGTTCTCGCGTGGTCAATACATTACCAAATCAGGTGTTATCCAGCGATAGTCTTTGTCATTCATTCCAACGTATAGCGCCTGTAACGTCAATTTAATAATTGTTAGAATTGAACAAACTAGTGATCGTTGAAATTTTAAACAGAGATAAATCAGAAGCCTGCATGCCAGTAAAATGATCACGCATCGAGCACCGCAAATCACCCTTTCTGATTGGCTGTTAAGCTAGTTAATCTTTCAGCTCGAGATAAGCCTCGAGATAAGCCTCCCGGCTAGCTCAATGGATAGAGCGCTGGACTGTTGTGCGGGAGGTCGAGAGTTCGAGCCCCGGCCGGACCAACACTCAGGGTCTTGAAATAATTGAGAAGAATAAAATATGCTACCTTTCTATAACATCAAGAAATGGTTAGATATTCTAGTCTTCTCGGATAGGGACGAATAAATGGAGGTCCCGTCTCCTGCAGGTTTAGGGGCAGGAGACGTTAATTTCCCACACACGAGATTACTGTGTGATGGATGTCCTCCCCTGGGGTGGGATGAGTGGGTAACAGGACCCCCGTTGATACAAGTGTTTACTACACTGAAGGGGCTATCCTGTATAAATAAAGATGTCTACTCTACTCTAAATGAAAGGGGTCCCGCGGCTAGAGCTTTAAAGACTTGACTAAAACTGTAAATGGAGTTCTAGACGTTTTGTTAAGGGGTTTCTTGGTTATTCTTAAAATACAACCTTTCTCAGATGACAAATGTCGCAAATATTTAAAACCAGTTCCCTGCCCTTGAGGGAAAGTGATACAAATTTAACAGGCCTTGACGTTCCCTTCTCAAGGGGCATACCTCTTAAAGGTTTCATGCAATATAGAGATGAGCTCCGGGCAAACCAAAGAAAAATGAGACTTAGCTTCATTTTATATTTAACTTATTAGTTCTGTAATCACAAAAGTTACAAAAGGTAATAGAAATAGAAACAAAAGTGTAAATTACAAACTTACCTCGTTCATTATGTGATATAGGTCTCTCTGATCACATAACAAGATTATTTCTTTGATGCGTGACTTGAGCAAATAAGTCAGAGAGCTGTGTAACTTTTCTCTGTCATTCAAAATGAGTTCTGGTATCATTTTGATGCTAAATCGCGGCCATCGTTTAGCTTTAGCGTAAAAATAAGATGCCTCTCTGATTCGGCTGGCTAAAAATAGAGGAGACAAAGAGGGAAGTTTTTAAAACAGCCAGTAGCCTGGTTATGTAGCCCATCTCGTAGCGTTTCGAAACCAAGACCAAAATAATCAACGGTGAATCAGAACAGATAAAACTATAACAAAGAGCCAATGAAGAATCTTCGCAATCAGATTTTGATTTGTTGACTCGTTGCCGCGAGTTCTTTGGACCAATCAGCGAGGGTAGTTCGTGATTGAGCAAAACCAAAGCAATCCCTGATTCCTTCCCTAGCTCAAGTAAACTTTCTCTGAAGTATAGGTTTTGATTACTTCCGCGACGAATGAATAAGACGATAAGGGAACGATAACATAACATTTGCACCATTCTTGTAATAACCACGCTACAAACCACAGTTACAACGAATTTCAGTTTGAAAAGGACAGATGTAAGGAAACGCGCATCAAGGGAAAAAGTAATTTAGGGCGCTGATTTTTATAAAGGATAAAAAGCTGCCGCAATAAACAATATTCGGAGTGAAACAGAAGTCAGGAAACATCTAACATGACGCTAGGTTTAGTATTTTGGGCCACATTAGTTGTAGGCTATCGATCCTCGCTAGCGTTCATACCGCAGCATATCATTATGAAACGATTAATTTAAATACTCATCAAACAGCTTTACCGTCATAGACTACCGCTATTCTGGAGAAATTGAAGAAGTCCATGACATCGAACAAAGCTTGCATTACAACGTGATAGGGAGGTCTGATCGACATGATGTAAGTGTTCGCAGACTTTTCTGAGATGGAATCTATCTTCATTAGCGGTACATGTAAAATAGAACTGAGAGCTGCGGCCTTCTTGTCCTCACTCGCCAAGTCGATGATAGCTATCACTTGAGACAGCGACGATAGGACCTCTACACATCATAGATGAAATAAATAATTTAAAGCTTACCGACAATTACCAGACAAGGGTACGTACAAATGCATCTGTGGCTAAACCGAACATCGATCATTAACTCGTTAGAAATATCAATAAATGACCGAATGTAAGAGCTCGCACTTTTCTGAGATATGCTGAGATGGCTTCTTCGGTCATTTCTTTGACTATTTGCCCTAAGAGTGACTAACGTCTAATTTCTCCTTACAGTATCACCCCTGAATGATACGCGAAGGTGACGAGAATAAAGGGAATGATCGCCAACTAAAGAAGCTCTTAGATTGTTAAATAAATTCTCCTTGTCAGCACCTTAGGAAGTGTACAGGAAACAGTATAGAGGATATGCACACTGATGTTCAGGTGTACATGGTCAAACTGCACCACGAATATTGACGACACAGAATTACACTTGTGATTCGCACACTCTTAAAAAAAATGGCATTCTTTTTTTTCGTTAAGTCTAGCACTCGCCCGAAATGGCAAATCATCGGAGCATAAGCTTGGAAGATCGTATCTACGGATTTACTTTATCTTGTGATAATTACATGTAAAAATTGCGCTGTTCCTCCTCCATTTTTTTTTTCAAGTTAACCATAACTCAGAGGAACATCCAGTTGGAAAATTTTGACAGATATCTCGAAGGTTTTATTTCAGAGGGATGACTCTTAAATAGGCTCTTACCCAACTTGTAAGGTAACCTATCGACTCACAACTGATTCTAATTGTTGATGTATCAATCCTTACAACAACTTACCCCTCGAGAGAAGATCTTTCCTATCAACTTGTTCATTGACTAAAATAAACGTTATGTTTTCTAACATAAGTTTCTTGGGAAGAATGCTTTCGAAGACATATTTTAGGACTTGATGAAGGCTGGTTGCCTCCTTGCGGTGTAACACACCTGGAGGGGAAGAGCAAATGGTGGAAAGTTAAGGCGGCAATTAATAAGAGCGTGAAGCACAGCCATAGAGCCAAACGATGGCACTTTGCTCCTCTTTCGTTGTCTCAGAGATAACCAAGTTGACCATCTTCACCCTGTGGTAAAATATGCTTTCTTCATCTTCTTTTGTGCTAAAGTACATATAAGAAGTAGGTTTTTAACAGAAATGCGTAAGTCTCAAGAACTGGTGTCGGAATCATGGCCAAAATATCTGTGAATAACCATCATGGTGCAGTATCGATCGCTTTTGGTATTATCAATTGATCTGGCCACCTCCCAAATTGTAATGTTCTTGGCAAAGCACCGACTATTGTAAATAATCATCACTACCAATTTAACTTTTTGATTGTATTTGATTGATTCACTCCCTGAAGTTTTTTTACTGATGCAGAAAGATAATCACGCATATCCTAGGTATAAATTCTACCATTCAAATGTGAACGATTATCAGAGATTCATACTCGAGGAATAAAATTAATGTTAGAGATTTCTCTTCAAATAATGTTAGGAGTCTGTAACATGACTCTATCAGAATTCACCGCGGTGCAAGACTTACCAATAAAAATTTACGTCAATCGAGAAAGGAAATAAAAGGCAGAAAACATATTGTTTAGCAACGTGTGTTTGCGACAGGGGCAGATGTAACTATTGCTCAAGTACCCTTCGGTATTTTCAACATCATCCGAAAGACAAATCAGAAACAGAATCGCACAGTCACAGAATATGAAAATGAACCTCAAAATAACGTCTTTGCTTCTTACTTTCTCTTCGGTTTCTCTCATATTTCGTGTTTCCTATAAATGTTTCCATGTCATTTGCTTCCTCTCTTGTTTTTAAACATTCCAATTCTGCTTTCATTTACTTACACAACTTCTGTTTTCTGTCACATTCCCTTTACGAAACAGATTTGATTACTAAACAAAAACAAAAGTCACAAACCTATTTTGACGTCGCGAATCGTCCTCTCGGAGGAGGAAGCCCAACATGCCATGAAGAAAACCATTACCATTAGTTTACCCATTTTGAAAAGTGACAGTGAAAATTGAAAGGAACGAAAAAAAAAAATCAGGGATCGATTCAGCGGCAGTAAAGCTCAAGAAAAGTAATTTCCAGCCTCATAATTTGAACCTACAACTGCGTGGTAAGTGGGTCTGCGCTTGTTAAAATTTTCATCATTTTACAGTACATCAATAATTGACCTCCCAATGGTTCAACTAGCAAGAAAAATCAATTATTGACGTAAATATGGAGCGTTGATGTCGTTACAAAGGTAGCGAAGAAACGCAAAGAAAGGACTAATTGACGCTAATAGATAAATACAAGCCATAAACGAACTTATAAAAAGGTTTGAAACATTCTTTTACAGGCGTGGGGCAGAAAGGAAGTTCGTCATCTTCAAAACAATTACAACAACGGTTATTTCGCTACCACAAGAATTTTGCAACTTGAAGTTAACAGACATTCACGCATGTTATCTGTACTCATCACTCCGATTAACTTACAAGTGCCTTGAGATTTAGACATTAGTTGCAGTGTTAATTGGCAAGTAATTATGAAAAATAGAACAAAAAATTTCCCATGAAAAGTTGTTCTTGTTACGGATGATGCCAGAACACCAAATGACGCAGTACAGAAGATCCGAAAAACGATAACAAACGGCCACCCCACAACGGCATGGTAAAATATCCTTTCTTGCTGACCAAAAATGGTTTATGCAAACACCAGTCAATGATACATTGTCCTCATATTTGTAAACAAAGCTGTCCAGTTGAGAGACCTGTTATCTATGTATCGCCAACAACATCAACAAAATTCCACAGCTTTACCAAGTCAACAAGATTCTTCTAAACCGGCAACTCTGTTTAACATTTGTCTTGGGCATGACAAACAAAATCATGCACCTTCCTTTATGAATTGAACCCCAGGTAATTCCAATTTAGCATTTGGATGTTCTGTCAACTGACTTGGAAGAGCGCTGTGCCGAAAAAAAGTAAAAGGAATGGTAAATTTTGAGCCTGGTCGTTAAATGAAGGACAAACAGAGAGGTCAGGGTGACGAAGGGATGGGGGAGCTGGAAAAAGAGGAGCACAGTGACGGTAATACTCTCTGCCACTCCCCCGCTTTCCACTGTGGTCCGGGTTCGTAAAAACAGCCAGTGAAGATAAGGGGCCAATGATAAGTAAATTCCCAAACCACCTGAATTGAAGCGTGGGAACAGTTGACTGCCAAGTTGCGATTGTTTCAGTTTAGGTTTGCGCCCAAGTTTGGTGTACATTATTTAGACAATGGGTGAGACAATGTGATGAAAGCAAATGTAAAGCAATCGTGAGTTACGTTCGAGACTCAGTTCTTACTCTGTACCAGTAATAAGTGAATTGCAGATTTCTTATCTATTGTTGTCAAAGCACTTGTCGTTCATCGTGCCATACAAGCGTTACCAGAAGCAGCAGAAACGGGAGACACCTTTATACAGATTATAACAGACACAAACTGATATTGAAAGACAAGAAATTTTTCAGATGTCTTTAACGGTCGAAAGAAGATTTTGTCATTTAAAAAAAAAAAAGAAAAAAAAAAGCGAAAAAGCCACTGGTTAACAATCTAATTTTTCTTGGCTTCGAATATACGTCATCCGTAATGGAGGTTATGGACATTCAAGGGAATAAATACTCGGCAATAATAGTGACGCATTCTCTTCTTTTGAGTGACAATAAAAACCAACCAACAAGAAAAGAAAATATGACCTGGGTCATGATGGGCCCTGACGAAGAAATATTTGTGATCTTCTTTGAATCTTGACCACTTAGTTCGATCCATTCCTTGCCAAGTTACCTTGTAAGAAGGCAAATTAGTGCAATCGTTAAGTTTCAACGGAAATGCACAAGAAACACGGGGAAAATTTATTACGAGAGTTGTAACGAATCACCAAGACGCTTCAGGGTTCCTAATATTAGTCACCGCTGATCTTTCAATTATTTCAGGTGTGTACTAATATTTTTGAGGAGGCGCGGTGGCCTCGTGGTTAGTGCGCTCGACTCCGGATCGAGTGGTCCGGGTTCGAGCCCCGGCCGGGGCATGGTGTTGTGTTCTTAGGCAAGACACTTTACTCTCACAGTGCCTCTCTTCACCCAGGTGTATAAATGGGTACCGGCAATTTAATGCTGGGGGTAACCCAGCGATGGACTAGCATCCCATCCAGGGGGGAGTAGAAATACTCCAAGTCGCTTCATGCTACAGAAACCGGAGTTAAGCACCGGCCTAATGGGCCACTAGGCTCTTAAACAGACTCTACTTACTGATACTTTTGCCCACCCCCTGCACGGAAAAGTAAATAAACACCAGCAACAAAAAGGACAACATCAAAAGAACAACAAGGACAACAACAACCGCAGCAGCAAGGAAAACATCAACAACAGCTAGCACAACAACAACAGAAACTAAGATAACAACTGTAACAAGGAAAACAACAACAGCAACTAAGACAACAACGAAAACAACAACGAGGACAACAACAACAGCAAGAACAAGGACAAAAACAAAAGCAACAACATGGACAACAACTTCGGCAACATCAAGGGCAACAAGGACAACAACAATAGCAACAACAAGGACAACAATAACAGCAACAAAAAGGAAAACAACAACAAAAAGGACAACAACAATAGCAAAAACATGGACAATAACAACAGCAACAACATGGACAACAACAGCAACAACAACAACAACAGCAAAAAACAAGACCAACAGCAACATCAACAAAATCACCGCAAAGTAGGGTAAATTTGCTTCCTGCTGGTCCAAATACAAGCCTTCGGCCTACACTTGGATTTGCATGCATTCCATTTAACTCATATCTTTATTCACGCGGCCTTGTCAGTTTACCCGCCTATTCTTGATTTTTGCTTTAGATAATAAGCTCCCTGATGAAAAACCTCAGTAACCCTGCGAAAGCGGAAAACCTAATCATCTGTAGAAATCGAACATCAAGTTGACTTAGGGGCTGGGCCTGCACAAATGGATAGGTCGGACGCTCATTGCTCAGATATGGTAATATTTTACCCCCCTCCCCCCACTTCACTAGTCATTATCTCGAGTAAGAATTGGCTCAGGCCGTCACAAATGATGATACCCTGATCTTAGACGTTCTAATAAACTACTAATAAGGATAGAAAATTTTTATGCGGATTTTTAAAAAAGGAAACCCGTTTTTCGTTTCTTACAAGCGTTGGAGAAAGCATTCCATGGTGCCACAGAGGACTTGCTGAACAGTAAATGCTTTGAACCCGGGGGGGGGGGTCAAGTGAAGAGTTGTTGTCGTCGAGAACTCGGTGGTGAGTTGGGGCATAAACTAGGTTCATTTCTTGCTGAACAGTAAATGCTTTGAACCCGGGGGGGGGGGTCAAGTGAAGAGTTGTTGTCGTCGAGAACTCGGTGGTGAGTTGGGGCATAAACTAGGTTCATTTCTTACGTTCGAATTTGTTCCTCTTTTACGAACCAGTCTAGGAATATTTACTTGTTGAAATCAGTAAATCAAATACTCACTATAACAGTGTACATTTTTCTTTGTAAAAACTAATTATTCGTCAAAAGAAAATGCCTCTCAGTAAATTATTCAGGACCCTTATTTTCATTCTGTATGTGAGGAATAACTGAATAAATATGTGAAGAACTAAATTATAAAACAACAGAATTAAAGACACTGGGATCGGAGAAAATGGCTTAAGTACGACAGTATAATTTTTTCAACTCAGTGAAGTGTATTGCAATTGTTACTCCCCTCCAATCAAGGGGAAATTTTTTTGATTACTCCAGAAAAATACAACAAAAATTACTTAAAAGGAATTAAATATCAACAACGTTTCCGTTTCTTCAGTTACAGATTATTAAAAAGGCATAATCCATTCAAAGTTAAGATGAAACAAGGCGACAGGAAAGAAAATTATGATGCAATTGTTAAAAAGATAAACATAAAGAAAAACCACGGGTACAGTCGCCGTCGGGTAAAACAGTGATTTAATAGAACTATCAAAGAAATACACATTTCTCGTAAAAGAGAAGTAACGATAAGTTCTTCTTATAATTTCAGTTCAGTCTCTCAATCAATTAAAACAACTATTCTAATAAAACAAGCCCCCGAGTCCCTTTAATTAGAAATAGAAGTTTCGGTTCGAGTCATAAGATAAACATAAAGAAAAACAACGGTTACAGTCGCCGTCGGGTAAAACGGTGATTTAATAGAACTATCAAAGAAATACCGTTTCTCGTAAAAGAGAAGCAACGATAAGTTCTTCTTATAATTTCAGTTCACTCTCTCAATCAATTACAACAACTATTCTAATAAAACAAGCCCTCGAGTCCCTTTAATTAGAAATAGAAGGTTCGGTTCGAGTCATTTGAATAAAAGCCAGACATGAATATTCTAATTATGCGGTTTAAAAGGATTGATATATATGTAGTTTCAATCAACAACTGTTCCATGAATTGACGGGGTGGAACACATTCAGTCAAAGAGTGGATTGATTCGAGAATGAAGATAAACTGCAATTTGGTACAGTATACGGTGGATAATGTAGGCCATCTTGCATTTTAAACACACTAAATACACGATTTAAGCTATCTATTTTGTCATGGTGAAGTGTTCTATTAGTCTGCGGTTATTTTAAAAAGCATGCAGTACTGCTCAAAAGGTCATCCGTTGCGAGGCAGATAAATTTAACAGATTAATCTGACGAAAGCGAAATTACCTTAACCACATTGAGTCGATAGGATTTACTTGCTAATTCGATAAATATGTCTCCATCTTTATTTTGTATATGCATCTAGTTTTCGCATGAGGAACTCAGCGCGACTTAATCGCC